AACATATTCATGCGTTGATGCCATCTATTGGTGTAAATCAGTAATAGTTGGTTCTGAAGGAAAACCTTAATGACCCAGTAGGGAACAAAAACACCATTTACAACATCCCTTGTGAATGTGGACTACAGTCCATTGGAGAAACAAAAAGGCGAACAAAAGCTAGAAATCAGGAGCATAGAAGACTTGATAATACCAGTGTATCTACAATAGCCCATCTTGCCAGAGAAAAAAAAGAAAACTATACAACAAACTGGAATAATACTAAGCAATGGGATAGGAACCACACAAAAGAAAAAGAAAGATAAAAGAAGCTTTCTACATCCATTTAACTATACCACATCCAGCCAACCTAGCTTAAAATTCAGCAAGACTTGAAACAGTAACATAAATTAGTTGATTTAAGTTCTGATGAAAGAAGACTTTGGTTCGAATCCCGGCCACTTCCATCGTAGAAATGGCCCTTCCCAGATTAGCAGCTGAAATGTAGGATCAAAACTAGTTAGTAATTAGTATCTAGTTTTAAAATTGCTAGTAACTAATTAATGATTAGATCATATAGGCGACTATCCATGACAAAGATTGATATCCAATCAGTACCTAACCGTAAGTACTCAAAATGATATTTTTCTATCATTTTTAATTAATTAATACAACCAGAAGTGTTTAAAAATAATTCTTCTATGTGTTTATTAATTAATTCAGTCAGAATAGATGAGAAGAGACTACTTTATTCACCATTGAAAAAAAATGTATGATAAAATTCATATCTTCAAATGAAGATAAATATCACACTTAAGAACTGCAAAAAAAATATCCATACAACTTTGTTGAATCATCACTCATGTTATCTATCATCTATAGACTGTGAAAAATCAATATAATATTTTTATTTCGGTGAATAAAGTTTACTGACAGCTAAATTAAACTACGTTTTTTTTTTACTCATTCATAAAACTTCAAAACGAATTTCTAAAACGCATAGTTTTTTTGCTGGATGTTTTTGTCCTTGATCTTCTCAACTGTCTTGAAATAATTCAAGTCCTGCAAGTGCACTGACGAAACAGACAAAAATGAAAAACACGTGTGTCTGCAGTTATAAGATATGGGAATTGCACTGTGTAAATATGCAACGAACTACAATGAAACAGTTTATTTAAGCACTACTTCGAAATGAAGTACCTATTTAAGACAAGGAACTATGATAATTTAATAACGCCAGTGTGGCTTGAATATCTATAAGTTTCAGTGAAAACAATTATATGTTTTTTATCTTGTTTTTATATGTTATCGGCGCCACCTATCTGCATTTCGTTGTTTGGTTTTTTACGGTTTGTTAGATTGACATGTAATGTAAATACACTCGCAAATGATTCCCATACAAAGTACATAGTGCATAAACTTGTCTTCTTTGTCATAGGTTGGTTGATTGATTTTTCACTTAATTAGAAGACAACCAGAACTCAATCAGTCAGACAGTATAATGTAGTTATATACGTTAGGCAAAATTTACGAGATGGCGCTTTGCTTTCTTACCGTGTAACTTAATGATTTAGTACTTATGAATGTGTATTCTATGGCGCCCTATCGTGTGGCAACCGTTTAGCCTAACTTGATCAGCCAAGGACTGATGGGGCGGGACTCCTGGCGGAAGAGAGCTAGAGTGTTATATGTATACAAAGTTCAGTTGTATGCTTTGAGCTTTGCTAACGTTGCCGTAAGTCAGGACTAATTAACGAGACTTCAATGGCCGTACATTTCTCTATTCTTTGTGATAGTTCTTGCAAAGTACCAAACATACTAGCGGGCGTGGTTGGTAGCCAGGAAGATGAAGGAACACCTATCTCTGGAATGCACATAGTCCAATTTCATCAACAGAAGAGCAACAGGGATGTAAAGTAACTACAAGAAGAGGACGTCCGGAAATAACGTTACCAAAATTGTTCACTTTTGTTTCAGAGACAGGAGCCTTGTACTGCTGCCAAAACGGTTAGAAGGAACCAACAGATGTATAGTGTCGTATGTCTATTCTACCATGTTAGTCCTTGTCGTATGCAGGACTAACATGGTAGAATAGTGTCGTATGCAGGACTAACATGGTAGAATAGTGTCGTATACAGGACAAACATGGTATAATAGTGTCGTATGAAGGACTAACATGGTAGAATAGTGTCGTATGCAGGACTAACATGGTATAATAGTGTCGTATGCAGGACTAACATGGTAGAACGACAAGAGTTTCAATACATTCGGAAATAAATATTCATAAACTTAATTCCTAAAGAACTTGTATAATTTAGATTGTTTGCCAAAGATTTCTATATGTTCTGTAATAGATTCCCCACACTTATATAAACCAGTCATTATTGCTTATTCTCATTTCCAGTGCTTTATTTTCTATAGATTCGTGTCATTCAGTGGTAATCTTTAAAGCTTATAAACGCTAAATTATGGATTCTATCCCCGTCGCTGATACAACGCAGGTAGCCCATTGTGTGCTACAACAAACAGAAAGTGTAATATCGGTTTCAGACGCTGTGTTTCTCTGTAGTTTCATAGTATTCAGGTGTTGTTGTTCGCTGTTCTTTGTTTATGATGTGTTGTTCTTTTAAAATCGATATGTTATCAAACATTATCAACTTGTAATCAATTGTGATCAATTTTCAAAAACCGAAACTGGATGTCCTCCTCTAACCGAAATTACTGACTTTTTTTTTTTGCTTCCGTCTTATAGGTAATTATGGAGAGTTAAGCAAGATAACTGTTTAATATTTAATGCACAACTTCGTCTTAACCTATAAATAATTTCTACACATCTTTTTCTTCAAGAAAACCCATCGTAACATGGATGTCCTTCTTCACCAATGAAAATACTAGAATATATCTCTTGGCTTCCTGGTTCAATCGGCACATTATATGTGTTCTTAAATACACACACATACGCATATATCCATAAACACTTACTCACATGTATCAATGTGTTGCTGACGCCGCCAGGGGTGCTTGCCATCAACGTAACCTAACCCATCTAGTCTGACACTGTTTGACAACTACTTAATCACCTGCCTACATAGTTTACATACACCTCGCCACCTTACCCACTTCTTCTTGCTTTTTTTTTTGCTTCGTTCCCACAGCGTGATGTCTGCTGGGAATTTTTTTTATTTATCTTGAATTCTTAGTCTATCCTTGTCATTACATACACATACATATATATATATATATAT